TGCCAATGTCACAGTTGAAAGAAAAAAAACGAAACAAAAAAAAAAATTTTCGCTAAGCTCTAATAGGACATTAACCGGTGTTGGTAAGTTGGACTACGGGAGTACTCAGTTGAGAATGTAAAACAAAACAACAAAACAATATTTATAAATATATGTTATTTAAGTGGATAAATGTAGGCTGTCTCTTTTTTTAAAAATTCGGATTTGTCCATTTGGATTTTGAAGTTAGACTCTCTAAGTCTAAGAAAAACTTTTTCAAGGTTGGTCATATGCTCCTGAAGGGATGTGCTGAACACTATTATGTCGTCTAGGTACACGAGACAAATATCATTTTGAAGACCACGGAGGACATTGTCCATCACGCGCTGAAAAGTGGAGGGCGAGTTTTTTAGACCCATGGGCATTCGTAGGAACTCGAAATGTCCATGTTCTACGTTAAACGCTGTCTTAGAAATGTCCTGTGGGTCCATTTCGACTTGGTAGAACCCACTCGCTAAATCTAGAGTAGTAAAATAGTGGCATCTTCCTAACTTGTCAAGTACGTCGGTAATGTTCGGTATCGGGTATTTGTCGTCAATAGTTTTGTCATTTAACTTCCGAAAATCGACTACAAGGCGCCACTTCTGTTTACCAGAAGCGTCTGCCTTCTTGGGTACTACCCATATAGGAGAGCTCCAGGCAGAGTCCGAGGGTTGTATAATGCCTTGTTCCAACATCTTAGCTATCTGGTCTCTAACTTCTTGTCTGTGCACGAAAGGGTAGCGGTAACTCTTTGTGTAGATTGGTTGTTCGTCAGTCGTCCTAATACGATGTTTAATCTTGTTGGTAAAGGTCAGAGGTTCTCCTTCAATGTAAAATACGTCGGAATAACGAGAACAAAGTAAATTCAAATTAGCTGTCTCCTCGTCATTTAAGTGGTCGGTACGTAGTCGAGTTACGACGTCTTGTGCGCGTTCCGAAGTCTGTTCGGTACGCGTGCACTCAATATTAAAAATGTCAGCCTGCGCTGGTCGGTCGAGTGAGAATATTACGTCATTTGGAGAACTATTTTCAACTTCCAAGTAGCCTTTATTATTTTTGACAATTGTTAGGCACTCGTGGATCATACAATTACTAATAATTTGCTCTTTTACTAAAACTTCGCCGTCGGAGGCATTAATAGGGATTCTAATTATTTTTGATGTACCGGCCGGGATCATTTCCTCATAGTAATTTACATTACAAGAGTTATACATGCGGATAGGGTTACTAGAGGATTGCGTTAAAAGAATTTTATTTTTTAAATCAATTTTTGCCTCCCATTTTGTCAGTAAATCTAGACCTATAAGGCCGTCAAAGTAATTATGGAAGCGGTAAATGAACAACTTTATGTCATCTTTGTCATTGAATTCGGAAAAGGAGGGTAAAGTTATTGAGTAATCGTTCTTACTTATTGCATGCACATTAGTAACTTCGAAAGGGTCATAGTTGATAGGGAAATGAGCAAAATATCGTTCTACTGCTTCGGGACTAATAAATGATTGATTAGCACCGGTGTCTATCAAAAATTTAAGAGGAGGATTCGTAATTTGGATATATGGCAACTGTCTTTGTGACTGCAGATTTAGTTCTATTTTGGCTTTTGTAACTTCCGGTCTAACCGAAAATTTGGGTCAGTGCTAGTGCTGGGTTCAGCTTGACATTCATAACCATCAGTCAGCTGGTACCTATCAGTCAGTTCCGAGTACTGGTCGGCGCTATCGTATTGAATACTATGTTCGTGTTCCGCGTAACCTGTAACATAATCTTCACAGTCGGCATAGCCCGTGCCGTGATAGTATTCCGGCTCTGTATAGTAGCCGCTGTAATAAGAGTCAACTGTGTAGGGTGCACATTCATTTACATGCATTTCATGGGACTTGTTGAAACGATCATGGCCTAATGGAGGTAAAACTTTTGGAGTAAATGCCTGTACTCCACTCATGGGTTTATGGGTGCCGTATGGAAGGTTGTGTCTGGGTGGCAAACGGAATACGTTACTCCGTGGGTATTCGGTGGAAGTGCACGGAACATTTGCTGGGTTCTGGAGGGCATACGATTGTGTGCCTGTGGTTGCATATGATTGAATTTAAACGGTTGAGGGGGTTGATGCGGAGGCCGCTGTCCAAGAGGAGATGGCCAATTTGGAGTCTGAGGTTGGTAACTCGGACGAGGTGGGAGATATCCTAGATTAGGTGAAGGCATGGTCACTTTAAAGTTTTGTGAAGAAACCTTAGAAGAATCTCGTTGTTGCAAATAAATAACATTCATTTCTTCTTGAACGTACTCAAGTGCCTTTTCTATGGTGTCGGGGCGCATACATCTCACACGCGACCCTAAGGGCTCTTTTAAACCTCGCACAAAGGCCTGCATAGCTACTTTTTTATAAAGGGACCTTTTAGCTTCTATAGTAGTACTAATATTCTCATGCAGGGACACATACGTTATTATGGTACTTAGTAACGTCTGACAGTGGTCGAAAAAGTCCTGAGGGGACCTGTTACCCTGTGTGGCTAACGAGAGGTCATTGTATAGGGTAGTCTCGTCACGTTGGTCAGAAAAATTATTAATTAGAGCAGTTCTAATGCCCACCCAACTATCGGGTATGCCATTAGAGTTTATAGTACATGAGGCTGTGCCTGTGATCTTATTTAAGATTCCGTTTAACAGGCATAAATTGGATAATTCACTCCCTGGGGTATTGCTCATATATGTATGGACAATTTGGTCACATAATCGAATGAATCGTGTAAGTATATTAGGGTTACCATCGAAGTCCGGGACTAGGCGCAGAGCCTTATAAATTGAGTCCGGTTCGTGGGCCATTGTCCTTTCTTCAAATAAAGTGTCTAAATTAAAATCTAAATCTCTAAATGAATCTATCTCTTTCCGGCGAGTCTGGCGCGATGCAGGTTTCCGAGGTCCCGAATTTCTGGGATGAAAAATTTTGGAAGGATTTTAAGTTAGGGACTAAGGAAGCAAGCAACACAAGAACGATTCTAATGTACTCACATTAATTTCATCTCTGGTCTTCCGGAATCGATTTCTTGATTCGCCTGGGCTGCAGCTCGTAGATTCTGGATTCTCAGCAGCGGTGCTTGATAGCTACCCGGGGAAGTCGCGAACGTGGTGCAGAGTTTGATGCGCGCTCGCGAACCGGCCCGCGAGAATCCTACCGACTGCGCCAATTAAGATAACTCCAGCCGAAGGTTCGAAAAAAAACCAAAAGTTTTTATAACTAATTTAATTTTAAAGAAATAAAATTACAATATTAATTTGTAAGGATAGGTGACAATTGTACGAAGGTTGAACCAAAAGTGAGTTGACTGAGAAATTACGTTGTTCCGGTAAAACGCGACACGTGTGCTGATCCAGCGCCTCGTGATCGGTGCATTTGCTGTGCCTTCGTTCTGTAGAACTGTGGAGTCGGCGGCTTCCTTTGTACTGCGATATCTAACTAGCACAGAGAAGAAATTTCCAGGTTCGAAATGTAAACAAAATAATAATATAAAATAAACAGGTAGAAAAGGTGTAGCTATCTAAGGACTCTGGCTCCTAAAGTAGACAAATGTCTGTGTCTTAGGATACAGTGTTCAGTTAGGCGGGACCAAAAATATGTGCCTGTATTTAAAATTTTGTTTTTATTTAAAATTTTAGTATAAAAATGAGACTGAGCGATCGTGGTTATACACTTTTAGTGATAGTTATGAGGTAATAGACAAAATATAATAGGCATAAGTACGTGTGTATGTATGTTTGTGTAGAGTTATGTGTGTGTGTGTGTGTGTGTGTGTGTGTGTGCATGCGTGCGCGTATCTGTGCGTGTTTGTGTATGTGTGTGTGTGTGTGTGTGTGTGTGTGTGAGAGAGTGGGTGTATGCGTGTGTTTTTGTATGTGTATATAAAGTCCAAAAGTAATTGCCTAAGTAATCATATTTTAATTTGTTCCTCTGTAGCCGCGTAGTCGAGAGTCTTCAGTCAATTTTGCAATTTAGACTTCAGTTCGTAACTAGATAAGCCAACACAGTTGTGAATTGATTTTAATTTATTATATAGAACCGAGCTCAAAACATAAAACTGCCTGCTTGCAAAGGTGGTCGAATGCTGTTCACTTGGACACACCGGTCGTTTAACACGACCGACGGTTTGGTTGTAGGGGCAGTACTGAGCGGTGTTTTCTCAACACGGCGCTGAGTATAAAAAGCTGTCTCACTGAAAGGACTTGAGTCTCAGCGTACTATTATTATATAGTCTCTGTAATTCTTACAAATCCAAAGATAATGGCGTTTGATACTTTTCAGAAATGTGAGGATTGAATGAGCACTTAAAAAAAATATTATTCAAAAACGTTTCTCATTAGCTTGTTTTATATTTTACAAATTCATATGATGTAACTTTTACTAAATCTAGACAAAACGAAATTTTATTCTCTTATTTGGTTCCTAAGAAATCGTTCCTTTTAAAAGTGTTTGTATAAGGTTTGTGTAAGGGCATAAGAAAGTATTTGTAAAAATCTGTAATTAAAAACAATAATTTAACAAAACTTTTACTAAAAGCTGGTATTATAATATTATGTGCAAACTTAATACTTTTGTACATCTGACTGGCCCTCTGTGGGAACTGAGTGAGCACACATTAAGTTGTTTTTCTCGTGTTTTATCTTTTTACAAATAGAAAGACTGGTTTCTACAATTGTTTTAGAACTTTTACTAAATGGCTAATATAATTTAAACATTTTGTAGAGGGTGCTTACTCAGTCCATACACACGTTTCTTATTATTATTATTTTTAAATATCTATATATTGTAACACACTTAAACACACGTAAACACACTTTCATACAGTCTACTGCGGGGTTACAAACCGTTAAAACATAAATAAATTTATTTTACCTTCTCATACAACCTGTCAGAGAAGCAATTTTTTATCCAATACCTTAGGCATTGTAATGAAAATAATTATTAAATGTATATGAATTTTCAGTTTTCCAATTCTGACGAGGCAGTGTCCGGAAAGCTGACATGGCGTAGTTTGATCGACGCCACTGAGGCTGCCGTATGCAGTGCTCAAGTGGATGTTGCTGCTTTCCCGCAGAGACGAGTGGCGAAGACAGTCACTGAACAAATAGCGGACTTGGCTGGTAAGATTTCAATAAAAAAGATGGAATATAAAATTGTTGGTGCAGGTGAAATTACAGGAACCTGAGCCACAAGTTGACAGACTTGTGGCTCAGGGTAACAGGCGCAGTGGTGGTGTTTCTCAGACCTTTGCGATTTAAAGCTCTGAGTGCAACTGCTACGGACAGGCGTGTCGCTTAACACCAGGCGAACGATTAGTTCGTCCCGTCGCTTATTATCATAAAAAAGAATGTAAACGTGTATTCTATATGTTTTATGGTCTCATGGTGATTCATAAGGGTTACTTGTGAAAAATATGTTGTTCAACATTTCTACAATTTTAAGGGTTTTATTTTGTGCGATTTTTCATAGTTTGTTTTATGAGTAGGAGTTATTATACTTATTATCTGTATAATAGAACATTAGATTCCATTTAAATTACAGGTATACAATTGTCGGACGATCCTGAAATGACGTATCTTGTGAATCCTGCCAAAGTGCCAATAATTCAGACATTCCTTAGAACTATGCACAATGTCCCTATTGATGCTGAGGATTTAATCACGTTGACAGCTGCTAAGTGAGTTCAATACTGCTTTAGTTTCAATGTTGAATGTCAGTTATAATTATATAATATTTAAGTCAATCTGAAAATAATTTGGTGTAATATTAATATATTCCATGGTAGTAAAACATAAATATATATACATAAAGCAACACCTCTAGTCACTCGCTGGTAGCTATAAAGGTACCTGACTGAGTGAAGCAAAACTTTCACAGACTTCTCACAGATGGCGCAACAGCAAAATGTCGTTAAAAACCAAAAACAAAGATTTGCAACAAGCAAATGAAAAATTCGTAAGATTCATTCCGTGGCTCAATTGGGAGAGCGTCAGACACGATATGCTGAAGGCGCTGGTTGAAATCCAACCGGATCGAACGAATTTTTCTTAGTGTGTTAATATTATTACTGTTACCTTTATGTTTGCTTTACAAGGCTAAGAAGCATCGAAGAGTACCTAGGGGAAGAAGTAAGAAAGGAGTTGCATGGCCTGGGCACCTTCTACTCCTGCGAACACTTCGATGAATTAAAGGGTACCATTCCCGTGGTGCCGCTGCAGACTCTTACCGAAGCAGAGCCACAGGTATTAAAATACAAGTTAAATTTATAAAGTAATAATTATATTTTGAGAATCTAAAGAAAGATGTTACTATTCATTGGTCTTCATCATACAATGATAAATGCTTATATATCAGCTACATGCTGTTTGATGACGCAGCCAGCATTTCACTAATAACCTTCATTTTGAATAGCACCAAGTGAGGGCAAAGTTTCTCATTGGGCTTTTTCTTTTTTTGCATCTTTGTGCGCCTCAATAAAATTATGCGTTTCAGGATTATGAATACTTCGATGTAACGAAGCGATATGTATGCATAGTACCAGGCTTAGAAGGGCATTATGCACGTTTCCGCTTGATGTGCGAGCGATTCAAGACAGGGGCGGTGGTGCTTCAGCCCAGCCTTGACTGCCCTTATGACACAGCGGAGCAGACAGCTGATAAATATGCCCAGGTAAAACTATTACTTGCCTTGTCTGTTACGAGGACTACCGAAATGGACCTTCCAGGGTATTCAATGTGCTTTGCCACTATGATCCTAAGCAGTATGTACTATGTACAAATTATCTGATCTTTTCATCTTAGTTCTTTTAGTCTTGAATTAATGTCGTGGTTGCAGAATCGTTCTAGTCGTTGCCGTCATTCTGATGCACTCGCCTTCTAATTTCAATTACATTGCATGATATCATCAAAATTAATTTTACGCTTTATTACTGAATATGGCACATTACGTAATTCTAACTTGCATTGAAAGACTGATTGTGTAGATTAAATTGTCCAAAACTATGCTAAGATTGACTGAATAAATTTTATAATTGAAATTTATCTTATGAGTCATCCTATTGTTCTAGTCCAGGTATAACTTATTCAATTCATTGTGACATTTGCAGTTACTCCGAGACAAAGTGAATATTCAAGACAATTTTTACCTGGTGGGTTACGAGAGCGGTGTTCTGGTTGTGTTGGAACTCGCTGCCATTTTGGAAGGGTGCGGTAGGTTTCTGAACAAATTATGTACTTAGTATATATTAGTGAAATTACAGGCACTTGGAACTTACAAATTTAGGTCTCAGGGCGACGGGCGCAGTGCAATGCCCCTCAGATCTTTGCGATTTAAAAATCTGAGTAGCACTGCAACTGTTGTGGGTAGCCGTTTCGGTTAGGGCGCGTTCCCATTATGTCGTGACGTTTTGTTGGACGACTGTCGCGCTAACCTGTTCCCATATCACGACTATCTGTCGTGGCTGTAACGTGGACGATTATTTTATCATTGAACGACTGTCGTGTCTAGCTGTTCCCACTAGATCGTGACGGCAATTTATCGTTTCACGGCAGCCGCCTTGTCGTTTGCACGACAGAGTCATTTGATGCACTGCAGTTGCTTCTATGTTATTTTGGAAGCCAGTACGGTATTTTCGCTCCCGTGTGAAATGGATGAAGATGAAATTATAATAATGTATTACTTTTAAAAAAGGCGGAAGAGGAAATAAACGAAGAAAAGAAAGTTTTGAAGTACACCCATTGTTATTAAAGAATTCCATTAGAATTATGTCATACGTTTATAGATGAACTGAAAAGTGACGAGAGAAAATTTTGGGACTATTTGAAAATTTGGTATTTTGTAATATTATGTATAATTAAATTTGAACAAAATTGAATTCACAATAAATACTTCGTGTAAATAATTTTTGCTCTCGATTAATATATTTTAACCCGATTTAAACCCAGCCTTAACAAAGCACCGGGTTACAACTCGGGCGCTTGCCCGGGTTTCTCTGGCTACGACACGACGCTAGTGCAAAGAGAGCCGAGGGCGCGGTGTACGAGAGAGGAGAGTAGGGAGCAGAACACGTGCAGACAACGATAAATAAATCGTAACGACAATAGTAGCTGCGACTATCTGCCATCACGTTTTAATCGTGACGTTTTACTTATCGTCTGACGACTGTCGTTCTAACTCTGCCCATTACCAAGACAGTCTGTCGTCGTAACGCTAAAAAAACTATGAACGGCAGTTAATCGTGTCGTACTATATGTAAACAACATCATTTAAATATACAAGTCACGACACTGTAAACCCCACGATTATCTGTCGTCGCGACTTAGAGGGAAAGCACCCTTACCACGACGCTTAATATAAAAAAAATATTATTGACTTGGTTCAGTCATTCGTTGTAATTCAAGCTAGGCTTGTATAGCACGAGCTCTTCTTAAGCACCCAATATTAATATTTGGCCCAGAAAACAAGGCGAAATATTGAAATCAACAAACTCTGCAGAAGTTAGCCAGAATAGACAGCTATGTCATTGTCATCTTGTTTTAAATTTTAATATCACCTGACAGTAAGTTATAAATAACTTGCAGCATAACCACGCATTTGCCATTTATCGTACACAAGAATGAGAACTGATTGCAGATTGTCAAAATTGTTCCAGGTCTTAAAGGCACCGTGTTTTGCATTGGTGGCGCCCCCGAAGAGTTCCAGGCGACCCTCAAACACGAGCTAAGAGAGTACCAATCGGATGAGGAGCTGCAGAACGCCGTCATCAGGCACATGTTTGTGTTGATGAAGGGGGACGATGATGGGCTAGATGAGGTAATTTCTCTATACTTTATCCAACAGCGTATTGTGTATTATACTTTTCTGTAATAAATTATTATTGTACTTAATTGAATCGAAAAACAACTTAAGTGCTTTTGGCAAAAACCTAATTAGAATTGCAGATTGGTTTCTCAAAACATAGATATACAAAAATAAATTTAGCATATTTCAATTCCATTTAAGTCAAATATTGTTTATTGCATGCGAGTGAAACAATCATTAATTAATCGGGTGAGCATTAAAATACTATATTTAAATAGAAACTCCAATGGCATAATACATAAAGAAGCACACAAGAAAACAACGTTAACAACGACTGACAGGGGCTTAATGTTGATTGCTGTTATCCAGTTGCCAACACAACTGCACGTGGAACCGTTAACAATCTTAATAATCATAAAATGAAAAACATAATGACTTGTCATGTTCAATTGCAGGTGCTGGAAAAGGTATCCACATTTAAAGAGAGGATAGATGTGTGCGTGCGACTGTTGCTCGGACGAGTGCCTCACTCAGCGCAGTACGCGAAAACGCTAATCTTGTCTGCATACACGCGGATCAAGCTAGCACTGCAGTACAAACCACAGCCGAGGCAGCTCAACTCTAGAGTAATTCTCCTACACTCACCATCGATGATACTTGAAGACCCTCGCGACACCCCAGTAACATTACTCCAACAGTACTCCAAACAACCAGTCGTAGTTCACGAGCTGCATGAACCTCTAGCACACGCCGCCCTCGATCTTCGTATCTCGGCAATCATCAACACCTATTTCGATAAAAACATCAAAGAGGCTTACGAAAAAGCCAATCTATGCGAAAATCACAGTTTTCTAGGTGATCTATGCAGTGCCACTCAATACTTTGATTGGAGTTAATGTTAATACTGTAACTCTTTGAACGCAATTAGAGTTCTGTGTTTAGTTGTTTAGATTCATTTAGGTGTAGATTTGTGGTTTATTTTTGAAATAAATGTATTCTTGTTTGAGCAAATTGCGTTAAGTTCCTTCGATATTGTTTTAGTCTCTTGTAAAAATAAATTAGTTAGTAAAACAGCAATGATACATGTGAACAAACTGATGACTTCTGCAAAACTAAGCAGGGTCAATTACCAAATTGACCCTGTTATATTCAATATATTATCGACTGAATATAGTTTGGAAACAATGTTTCAGAGGAGTCAAAGATTCATTTGTTCTATAGGTAAGATAAATGGACACCAGAAAACGTCACTTTTAAGCTACTGCTCATTCACTATGCTGGCTTCTCCGAGAAGAACGAGCAAGAAACTCTAGGAATTGCTATTTTCAAATAAACTTAAATGCTATAGAATACACTTTGAATCAAATTTGTGTGGAACCTAGAGCCACATCTTACGTAGTCTTCAATTTTGTAATGTGACTTCTCAATTAAAATACTTTTATTGTATTTTTTAAACTTAAAAAATGATAATATTAATATATGTTCCGGAATCTTATTGTAAAAACGTATACAGTTCCCCATAAAAGAGTCGTTTCCCTTGGTTAAACGAAATCGTGGTACCATGAGTTTGGATTTAGCTCTAAGTGCGTTATTTTCTAAGGCTCTAAGGTTAATATTATAGATATTTCTTGACTTAATAAATTATGCATATTTTTACGGGCATATAAAATATTTGAAAGAAAGACAGAAAAATGTTTATAGTACAAACACAGACACGTGTATACCCAAAAAAAGTAATAATAAAAAAAGAAAAACAATATTAAAACCTCAGATTATAAACATTGGCAGATGAAGCGCGCCGAACACAAAAGTAAAGCCACCAAAGCAAATACAAATTCAAAAGCGAATACAAACTCCCGTCAGCACTAAGCTCAGCGTCGCACTGTTTGCACGTCACGAGTGATTAGTTATTTTATGTTTTAAAATGCCGTTTTGTGTTAAGCATTGTAAAAGTTGACCCCAAAAACAAAACATAAGATGGAATTTCTATTTACAAGGAACTATTGTTAATTTAACTTTTTTATCATTTATTTACCCGATATTTTTTGAGATTCACTCGGAACACAAAACCTCGACATAAATTCGTATGTGTTGCCAGTTTTTATCAAAATGAGTTTCCTTAAATTATGTAAATATGCATGGGTGATAGGATAATTTATACTCTTGTATAGAAATTAAATAATGCATGCATGTACACACAGAATGGTCCAATTACTGCGATCCAAAATTGTTTTTAGGTAACTCAGATTTATCTAAATTCTTATAAAAGAAAATGTTCAAAAACAGCTATAATTTTCGCCCTATAGATACAGAGAACTTTCATTGTTATGTGCACAGAGTGATTTTGTAAGAAAACGTGTCAATAAATTAAAAAAAAAATTATAATGTATGTATATGACTTCACAGGTTCTAAAGAGTTTCATTGGAAAACAAATCATTTTTGTCAAATTAGAACATAATCGTTAATGTTATGGAATTGATTACAAAGATAATTTAATAAAAAAATTAATAGAAAAGTATTTGATAGTGAAATTGCGCTACATATCAAAATTAGAACGAATACTCGATGTATAGACGCGAAATGTTAGTATTATAAAAAATGCATACAAAGTAAAGGTTATTAAGATATTGTGTAATTGTGATTGTCATAAATATTTTGAACTATCAAAGTTTTCCAATTTAAAATATCGTAAAAAAATATTATTTCCTTTGTGTGATGTAAATCAAATAATAACAATTAAATATTAACTTATATTGCATTAATATGTTTGATATCCTAATACCACTTAAGTACCTATATACAGTATTGTAGGAAGCAACAGAAAAAAATACGGGAGTTTTGTCGCAGCCTCTGGCAATCTTATACGCACACAAATGCGCATGTCTCTACAGTGCCCCTCCTAGTTCTCACGCACACAATAAATGAAAAGTGGCTTCATTTCGTTTGTTGCGTACGCTACATCTGTATATTGTTTTGTAATGTAAGGATACGCCTATTTACGTGTCTGAGCAATTGACACGTAAGATAGCCCGCTTGGACTTCTTGGCTAGAGACCGCACAAAGTTAAAGAAATTGAAATTTTGTTGGACACCTTCGGTCGGATCTACGCTCGCAAAAATGAGAACTCACGGGTCATAATAATAATAAATGAAATGCAAGTATACATCATTTGCTGCAAGAGACATGACTGACTAAGGTAACTTTCTACTTGGTTACTATATTGTTACCAATACACCTACTGTTTGTTATATCTAATAAGTCAATTGATTATGTAGTTGAAATATGTGTAGTTGAAATATGTGCTACGTATTTACCTAAACAAAATATTATATTAATTGTTATGTACTGGAATAGAAGAAAAGAGGACATTTTTTATAAACAAATGCAAGACATATTAAAATATATGAATAATAAATATCCAAAAGAAAACATTATTTTAGGGGGAGACTTTAACATAAACATCAATCAAAATAACTCTAAAACAGCTGAGTTTTTAAACCTTTTTCTTGAACATAACTTCACCCAACACATAAAACAACCAACTCATGGAACTGAAAATTCATCATCTTGCTTAGATCTAATATTTACAAATTTTAAACATAATAGTTTATACACTTCAGTTAAAGATCTAGGTTTTTCTGATCACATGGCAACAATATTACAAATGTCTATACCTCCCCAGAAAACGCAAACAAATTGGTATACCTATAAAAGGATTTATAGCGAAAATAATATAAATAAATTGAAAGAAAATTTAAAACACATAAATTGGCTAAATATCATTAAACCAAATAAAAATGGAAACGAGAATTTCATTGCTTTTAATAATACATTACTAGATAACTTAAATAAATACATTCCAAGAAAGAAAATTAAACTAAAAACAACAAATAAAAAATGTTGGCTTACTACTGGAATTAAACGTTCTTGCAGACACAAACGATTATTAAAAACAATAACATTAAAATCAAAAAACCTATTACTTAGGATGTACTATAAAAAATACGAAAAGATTCTAAAAAATATAATAATAACTGCAAAAAAACAAAATTTCATTAAGAAAATACGTGATTCAAATAATAAAATAAAAACGATGTGGCAAATAATAAACGAAACCACTAACAAAAATCCGAGAAAAGAAAAACAAAATATAAAGCTAAAACAAAGCGGTGTTGATGTATTTGATGCCCGTCAAATTGCGAATTTATTTAATAATTATTTTAAATCAATTGGAGAACAAAAACTTAATAATTCGTTACCACATGGCCGCCCTGTTATGCAACCATGTGAAAATAGTATGTTTTTATTTTCAGTAGAATACTGTGAAATTAATAAAATTATCAGAAACTTAAAAAATAAATTAAGTCATGGTATACATGAACCATTTTGATAAAAAAATGTGCGGATGAACTGACTTTACCCCTTACTAACCTAATTAACCAGTCATTTGAAGAAGGCGTTTTTCCACATATTTTAAAGACAGCTGTATTAAAACCAATTCATAAAAAAGAAGAAAAACACAATATCTGCAATTATCGTCCTATAGCTCTATTACCAACAATATCAAAAATATTTGAAAAAGCAATGACCGATCGTATTTATTCGTTTTGTGAAAAATACAATATATTTCATGAGTCGCAAAATGGTTTCCGTAAAAAACATTCTACAACTACAGCTATATAAGTACATTCAAGCAGTTTTAAATATAATTAACGATAAGAAGTATGCAATAGGAGTTTTATTAGACTTATCGAAAGCCTATGATAGAGTTCAATTTAAAATATTGCTTAATAAGTTATACGGGGTTGGAATCCGCGGAATGGCACATAAATGTCTTACATCATATCTTAAAGACAGGGAACAAATTGTAGAAATAGAACATTACGACACCATTTCGGGTGAAATTAAAAATATCCAGTCAAACAGAAACATCGTTAATGCATCAATTCCTCAAGGTAGCGTAATCGGTTGTCTTTTATTTATAATATATATTAATGACCTCCCAAAAAATATAGATGAAACCTGCGTGTTATTTGCTGATGACATCTCAATCCTCACTTCAAGTAATGATAGTATAAATCTGAAGGAAAGCCTTACATCTCTGCTTGAAACTACAACCAATTGGCTTAACGATCACAACCTCGAAATTAACTTATCAAAAACTAAAATTATAACTTTTCACCCTCATCAAAAGACCCCGCTATATGTTTCCATACAATACCAGGGTACAGAAATAACGCCGGTTGATGTTTATACATTGTTGGGAGTTGACATTGATAAGCATTTAAATTGGAAAAAACATGTTCAAAAGCTAAAATCTAAATTGTCCAAATTTGTATATGCTTTAAGAGAATTAAAAAAAACTACAGACTTTAAAACTGCTTTAACTACCTATTATGCCTTCGCTTACGCTTGGTTAAACTATGCTATAATTCTATGGGGCAATAGCACGGATACGCCTAGCCTCTTCACTTTACAAAAGAAATTAATTAGAATCCTCACAAATATTGCCCAAACAGATAGCTGTAAACCCCATTTTATCAAACATGAAATCCGACAAACAAAGAAAATATCTCGAAAAGGGTTAAGTTTAGGGTAGGGTGTTTCATAGTAAAATAAGTCAGAAATGATGAGTACTCCACGCCGTTAACGGATCTAGCACGACTTTTCCTGTATAATGGGCATTGTTCACAATTTTTTACCTATACATGTTAAATTTTTTTTCGAAAATCTTCACTATTTTAAGACACTAATTTGAATATTTTATCATTTCGTAGCTTATTTGCCTTATGATTTTTTGAAAATTTTGCAAGTTATTTATTTGGTGATCAAAGGCTCTATAAATGTTAACCTTTGCGGCAGGGAATATTTAAAAAAGTAAATTGACATCTCTCAAAATGTCAATAACGGAATTCTAACCTATAAATGTATTATGTTACAACATTAATCGAAACTGTCACTGGCCCAAGCCTAGTGGCCGCCATTATGGAAATATACTATCACATGAGATGTCTCATAAACAAACATCACTCCGTGATGTTACCATTACAACATCTCTCACAATACTTTTTGTTCTCTGGTATTTCTTTAAAGTATTGGGGTTTTATCGTTCTAGTATTTTAGCGCGCGTTTTTGTTTCTTCTTGTTTTTTTTAGTGCAGTTATATGGCCGACGGAATCATGCACTTTATAAAAGTTGAATCTCGTAAATTCCCGCAAGTCGACAATGTAATGATTATGGAATACATTTACTTAAAATAAGCTTAATGTAGCAGAAATAAGAAGAGTAAAAATCGTACAATTGTTGAAATATCTATGTAGATTTAAAACTACATAGGTGTTACGTGGGCCGGAAAAATGGAGCAAAGTAGTCACCACTTGGTACCCACGTGATGGAAAACGTAATAGAGGGTGTCAACATCAAAGATGGGAGGATGAGCTGAAGCTAGCTGTAGCACCATGTTGAAGAAGAGTAGCTCTTGATAGAATACTGGAAAGGCCTAGATGAGACACATGCCAAGAGGCACGCTGAGCTAAGAGATACTTATAATGTAAAAAAGAATGAAAATTCATAGTCATATTTCAAGTCATATTTCAAACTTTTCACTTTGAAACAGTTCACCAAATCTCCGTTCGGCTACAAAACTAATAGAATATTAATACTTCGAAAATTTCACAGTAGTACTAACACTGAAAAAAAAAGACAAAGTGTTGTTTTATACAGGTTGAGTTGAGTTCGGTGCAGACCACCACGGCGTACTGACGTTTCTGTGTACTCGCTGTATTAAAACCATTTATATTGACCTCTCACTTACGGAAATTTGTGCAGCGCCCGGTGTCTCGCACGATTGGTCATACGTGTGCCTTTCACTTTTTGTGACAACCAAGACAGTGACCTCTAACATAGTGCAACAGTGTTCCTCGCTCGGTGTCTTTTAACTTGGTTTATCATAAATATCGGACCCTCCTGCTCGTGCTTATTACTGGAGGACATAAGGTGTCTCCCCTCGGGGTTTTGTGAGTGAGACGACACTACACGCTGCGTAGACGCCACTGCTTCAGTCGACGGCACTATATTCCAACGCATTCTACTTACATCTCAATTCACGCCCGCCTCGAACGTATTTTTCGACACCATTGGGCCTTTGGAATGCCTCTGAAACGCACTCCTCCACAAAACGCTGCCCAGCCAGATTTTGGTAATGCGATCCTACTAAGCAGAGCCAAATCAGACCTAGATATTTCCGGACCAACCGAAACTCCGTCGCCTGTAAGTAACCGTGACTTTTCGCTAATAACTGTACGCTCTAAAAGGCCACGTTCTGAAGTTTCTCCTCCTTCGACCACAATGGAGGAATTTAAGACTGAAATGCGAAATATGATGAAATCCCTAATCTCGGAACAATCTGCCATGCTATGTCGACTCTCTGAAGATGTGTCTGCTATCAAAATTCAAAACGAAAATATTCAAAAGTCCAATAAAGAAATAGAGGACTCTATTGATTCCATTATAAATAGCTGCGTAGAACTTTGTTCCAGAATAAACAAGTTCGAAAAGGACCGTTCCGACTGCCAATATGGTTTATTGAATCTCGAAAAAAAGGTAGAAAGTCTGGAATTAACCTCACGAACTTCCACTCTTGAAATAAGGAATATTCCCGCAACGGATAATGAAACTACATCTGATTTGATGAATATAGTTCGTGCTACAGCCAAGGCGCTGAAACTTGAAATACAACAGTCGCAAATCCGAGACGTCTACCGCCTACCTAGCAAGCCTGGTAAAACTCGACCAATCATTGCCGAATTTTCTACCGTTGCCTTGAAGATGGAAGTGTTAAACTCTGTACGAAACTATAACAAAAACAGGGCTTCAACTGAGAAGCTAAGTACCGGGATGATTGGACTAAAAGGGAAATCATCCCCAATTTACTTATCTGAATACCTGCCAGGACCCACCAGAAAGCTGTTTTACCAGGCAAGAGAATTTGCCAAGCTCTCGGACTATAAATTCTGTTGGGCCGTAAATGGTAAAATATATCCCCGCAAAACTGAAAATTCCAACGCAATTAAAGTTGACTCAGAACAAGTTCTCCGCGCCCTGACTAACGATAAGTGACTATGTCCTAACGTCATTACGCACTATTGTTTCATATGTTTCAACTTTCTATTTAATATGTACATTTTAAAAAACCAGTATTTACAAACTTTTTACTCAAATATGTTATTTAATTGTGTTTCTATATTATCTATATTTACAACTAGTCACATGAATTACACTCTACATAACATTTACACTACATTCACTACACACACTCAGCAAGCAATCATAAGGGGTTTTCTGTTTCGTCCACATCGTCCTCGTGCTATCTTCCCAGAGTTGGTCATTTTTACTTACGTTGTCAATGGATTTGCATTTATTGTCTTAACACTGAGCTCTCGACTGTCGAATGATTATCTAATTAATATATTTCTTATAACACAATCATGGTTAATAATAAAATAGAAAGAATAACTGTAGAGCTAGAGATGCTCAGTGTTTCCAAATCAATGTATTGCCCTCCGGAACAATGCGTACAGTACATGTATAATCCATCCAAATCTTTAAGTTTTCTGCAACTAAATATACGCAGTATTAATAAAAATTTTGACCAATTTAGACTTCTATTAGCACAAATTAAAGCTCCATGTGATGTCATCGTGTTGACTGAGTGTTGGCTGCAAAAATCACCATACATACCTACTTTATCTGCATACGAATCCTACTATACTAAACGACGTATAAATCAAAACAGTGGTATTGTGTTGTACGTACGTAGGGGGCTAAACTGTAACGTATACGAGTTTACTTCTCTTATAGGTGCGAACTGTCTTGTTTGTAAGATGGGAACTGAGCTTGCTCTAGTTTCCATCTATAGATCACCCTCAATACATAACATAGATACTTACCTAAATAGTCTCAATGATCTTTTATCGAGTTTGAATTCCTTTCCCTTTATAGGTGTAGTGGGAGATGTTAACGTGGACATAAAGGATGACAGCACTGACTTGCGATCTGATCAATACCTGGACTTGGCTGCTTCACATGGCCTTTTGCCTGCGCATACCCTTCCAACTCGAGAAGAAAACTGTTTAGATCACGTTTTGTTGAAATCCAAAATGTCTTCTGTTACCATGGTGATTCAGTCAGATATCACAGACCACTATCCTGTACTGTTGTCGACGCAGTTTGGATGCAGTCTGTCTCATATTTCCCACACACGTACTAAATTGGATCAAAGTGCTATTGTCCAGGATATCATTGAGTCTGATCTTTCAGAAGTGTTGTACTCTTGGGACGTGAATGCTGCGGCAAACTTGTTGGTATCGCGTGTATCAGACATAGTCAAAAAACATACAAAGGTCTTTACTATCACTCGTTCTAAAAGGATTATTAAAGCCTGGATAACTCCGGGCCTACTACGCTGTATCCGCAACAGAGACTCTATGCACAGGAAACTTAAGAGAGACCCTAACAATATTATACTTAAAATAACGTATACGCGATATAGAAATTTCATTAATAAACTCCTTAAAACCTTAAAAAGATCTTACTTGAAATCACTTCTAATGAATGCCAAAAACAATGCTAAGGCGACTTGGGATGCAGTCAAAACCATTACAAATATAAATTCTAGAATTAATCCGTCTGATTCTTTGCTCAAATTACATTCCGACCCGGTAACGTCAGTAAACTCAGTCAACCAGTTTTTTGCTGGTATAGGGATCGATTTAGCGAATAAAATTCAACCATCTTTGTCTGAAGTTAGCCGCCTTCGTCTGGCTCAATCTCCATGTGCAGAATCATTCGCTGTTTTGGATGTTGACAATGGGGAAATTGAAGGGTTGATTTTGAGCCTGCGTAACAATTGTGCGGTTGGTTGGGATGGTATTTCCTCGTCCATTTTGAGGTCGGCGCGTCATGTTCTGGTTCCATTACTTACCCATATCTGCAACTTGTCCCTTTCTACTGGGATATTCCCTAACGTATTTAAAAGAGCGCTGATACATCCTATTCACAAATCTGGAGACAATGACGTCGTTAATAATTATAGACCGATCTCCGTTCTTCCGGCTATGTCGAAGATACTGGAGAAGGTACTAAACTATCGATTAACTAACTACCTGGAATCAAAACACTTACTTTCTAGTAACCAATTCGGCTTCAGACAGGGAAAATCCACCAATGACGCAGTGTCTGCGCTAATTAACGATGTTATCTCCCACCTTGATAAGAAAGACAAATGTCTCTGTATATTTCTAGATATTACAAAAGCTTTCGACACGGTCTCCATCCCTTTACTTCTGTCAAAATTAGAAACATTGGGTATTAGAGGTACCCAACTGGATATTTTCAAAAATTATCTATCAGACCGCTCGCAGGCTGTTAAGATGGGGAGTTATGTTAGTTATGATGAACGACTTACAATTGGCGTTCCGCAAGGAAGTATTCTCGGACCTACCCTCTTTACTGTGTATATTAATGACCTGTGCCAACTTCAGCTTCCAAATTGCAGGATCTACACCTATGCTGACGACACTGCCCTGCTAATACATGGCAATACATGGGAAGAAGTGCGTTTACTGGCTGAGAATGCTTTTACTGCAGTAATGAGATGGCTAACCTCTAATCTACTCACTCTTAACATATCTAAAACCGTATTTATGCCGTTCGCTCTCAAGCGGGTTTCCATTCCACCCACTTCTACATTTCTTATAAAGGCCCATACCTGCGAAACTCCAAGTCATAACTGTACTTGTCCTTGCATTGCAGCCACCAGTCAGGTGAAATATCTCGGTGTCATTATTGACCAAACCCTTAGTTGGCGCAATCACATAAATTATTTGAATACGCGTGTCCGTAAACTAATATATGTCTTCAAAAACCTCCGACAAGTGGCTGATGCTGACACCCTCTACATGACTTATTCTGCCCTTTGTGTATCCTTGCTCAATTACTGTCTTACAGTTTGGGGTGGTGCGGCAAAAACTACTATACTTAAACTGGAAAGAGCCCAGAGGGCAGTCCTAAAAGTTATGTTTAAAAAACCCTATCGGTATCCAACTTCGTTATTATATGCCCACACCTCAGTTTTGTCGGTTAGGCAGTTATACGTACTACAAGTGATCTTACAGAAGCATATCCTATTAAAATTTGACCCTGCTATCCTTAAGAAACGTAAAAATAATTATGTCTGTCCAAACAGGCAACATAAAACTACTTTGGCTGGAAAACACTTCCGTGTACTCAGCTCGCGTTTATATAACTCCTGTCATAGTAAAATAAATATTTACTCTCTTTCCCGTTATGAAGTCAAGAAAAATGTTACAAATTGGCTAAAAAGTCATGACTACGCTGCCACAGAGTCGCTGTTAAGGTAATTTCATATTTGTTGCATTTTCATAGTTACTCACAGAGGCTGTCTACTTCCATTCAAACTTATGGCTTCTGACTCTCCTATTTTCAAGACCTTTTTATGTACTCAATGGCAACAATTATAACAAACCCACATACATCTCATTTACACACACGAACTTTCGAATCACTCAAAATACATAACACCCACACTCCACTATTTTTTTGACACACTGCTCCATTACTAAACTAACATAGTTTAAGTTTCACATAAATTACACTAACTCTTTCTTTTGCATCTTCTGTATAAGTTTTTTTTTTTAACATTACAAATTTGTCCCTTCTGGGTCCCAAATGAACAGTTATATTGTACTGGTTTTGGGACTACAGACTTCCTTTTTGTATTCTCGTAAGCCATATGCTTAAAATATACGATTGATGCTTTCCAGCCGTGGCTGCAACAGTACCATCTGCGAACACAGGTTAAATCCTTACGTAGGGTCTGCATGTTGCCTGACTGGACAGCAATCAATCAATTGCTAATTAAGTATTGTAACTATCTCTCCAGTAACTGTGAATGGCTATCAATAAAGTTATTATTATTATTATTATTATTATTATTACTTAAAATAAGCTTAATGTAGCAGAAATAAGAAGAGTAAAAATCGTACAATTGTTGAAATATCTATGTAGATTTAAAACTACATAGGTGTTACGTGGGCCGGAAAAATGGAGCAAAGTAGTCACCACTTGGTACCCACGTGATGGAAAACGTAATAGAGGGTGTCAACATCAAAGATGGGAGGATGAGCTGAAGCTAGCTGTAGCACCATGTTGAAGAAGAGTAGCTCTTGATAGAATACTGGAAAGGCCTAGATGAGACACATGTCAAGAGGCACGCTGAGTTAAGAGATACTTATAATGTAAAAAAGAATGAAAATTCATAGTCATATTTCAAGTCATATTTCAAACTTTTCACTTTGAAACAGTTCACCAAATCTCCGTTCGGCTACAAAACTAATAGAATATTAATACTTCGAAAATTTCACAGTAGTACTAACACTGAAAAAAAAGACAAAGTGTTGTTTTATACAGGTTTATCAACTTACTTCAAAGTGATCTTTACAACAATAAATAGTGTAAACTTTGAAGTATCGCACTTTTACTTCACTACACCATTCTCGTAGGTATGAACAAAGCACTTCCTGTATTCCATAGCTGTGTTATACTTGATATTTTGTTGTATTCCATGGCTGTGTTATATTTGGTATTTTGTCTCCCGGCAGCGAATTTAAAAGTTGCAAAGATAGTAAGGTTATGTTTACAAACGTGAAGTAACGTTTAATTTTTTTTTGCACGCATGGACAAAATATTATAGAGCCACTGATGACGTCATTGATTGTCAAATAAAGATCAATACTATTTTTTGACAAATATAAGAAATCTCAACGTAATATTGACTATTACATAGAAAATATTAAACAGCAACCTTATTCCTCGAAATGAATTTTGAAATAGAGAGTTTGCAAAAAAATGAACAATGCCCAGGCAGTTTTCAATAATAAGGTCAAGGTAAATCTTGAAAACTGCGTATAATTTATGCAACCATTTTTTTACGAGAATGACATATGCCAAGTTTATAAAAAGAACATTGCGCTACGAAGCAGTTTTAATTTATGCCTAAATATGCGTTGAAAGGTTAACTTTCAACTAAAAAATCATCA